GTTCATGCTGATGCAACCCCACCAACTCCAGCATAGGCCATTCCACTTTGGGCGGGTGTAAGAGAGGGGTTAAACCAGACAAGAAAAGAGTAATCAGGCCCCAAGAGCAATCTGCATAAGCTTCTCTTTCTTCACATACACCCTACACTGTGTTAACAAGCCAGTAGCGAGACGCACGTTACAAGTGCCCAGCCTGGAGCGATCATGTTAATCCAAGATGCTCCATCCACTGAGAAATTCCCGATTTAGTCCCGCTCTTCTGATCAGAAGCAGTTTTTATCACAAGTGCTGAGCACCAAGAAGCCCTCATTTAATCACCAAGCTTCTTCAGAAAACTCACACTGGACAGCAAACACAATTGTTTAATTGCCAAGCTAATTTAGAAAATCAGAAGTCAGGACAGACCAAACCCTAATGCAGAAATCCATTAAACTTTCTTCCCCTGTTAAACTGGGGTTTGTCTTTTTTTTACTGTAGACCAAGACAAAGTAGAAGCTTTTTTACTTTAAACCTTTTAAAGTCAGCAACTGAAAAAGTTGGAATCTATTGATACACCACACAAAAAAGCCCATCAGCCTCATCACACTCCAGAGAGACCCCTGCTTAAGCAAGCCAACGCCTCCCAGTTAAATCTATCCACATCTGAAGTTTCAGTGCTGCATTACTGCAAGCAACTCGGAGAGCATTATTACTGTCTCATGAGCCATCTGCCGACACACCTTGGCTGGGTAAGAGAAAAGACAAGGTACTTACAACTCAGTCCAAGAGACCCTGGCTGATGCTCCCTCCAAGCTCTTCTCTTGACCAAGTTTCTCTGGCTACCGGGACGTGGGCATTCCTCCCTCTCTTTCTGTCTCTCTCTCTCTCTCCCTCCCTCCCTTCCCCCCCCACTCTGAGGCAGTGCTTCTCCCATTAGAGGAATTAAAAGTGGTTGGTGCCATGCTAAATTTAACAAGCTCATTAGTATTCTTCCTGTGTGCTTCCTAGTGAACTCTCCCTATTCAAGCGGCTCTCTCTAGCTGAGGGGTCAGGCGGCTAATCATTAAATCAAACTAATGTCACCCTATCACAATCGGCCTAAGAGAAGGAGGGTTTATTATTTCAGTTTATGCTAAATAAACGGTTTTACAAATGGTCTCCAAGCAAGGTCAACAGCAGCTTCAATTACAAGACAAACTTAACAAGAGTTGCTATAAACCAAGTGCTCCATATTGACCTACGCACAAGCTCGGCTCCGCATATTGCCACTAGCAGGATTGTACAGGAATGCATATTGTAAAATAAAGGAAAGGGTAATCTTTTCTTTGCCAGAATTTGTGACTGCACAGAGACTGCTCATTCACCTCTCCCCAACCAGCTTGCTGCTCAGCTCAATTCACCCCACACAAAGGCTGAAGACCAGACCTCAATGGACCGAGTGAAACATGTTCAAAACTAGGCTCTCTATTGTGACTGAATTTCTTAACATCTTTTCAAAAAGCGGAGAATGCCTTGAGGCTAAAGGAAGAAACAGGCTAATGGTGAATTGGGAATACTGAGCAAATTTCAGAGCCCTTTCCTCCTAGCTTTTGAGGTTGAAAGCAAGCTCTTTCCTTTCAAGTTTCAAAGTCCTTTTTCCTCCCGCAGTGTCACAGAAGGATTTGAAAAGAAGGTAATTGTGCTCACAGTCCCCCTGATCAGAGCTTACGTCCTATTTCTGGT